AAACTTGTAAACTTTTGGGAAACCATAAGACTCGAATGACCGCTTATCATCCACAGTCAGACGGAATGGTCGAACGTTTCAACCCAACATTGGAGCGACACTTGGCAAAGGTGGTTGACAGCCATCAGAAAGATTGGGACACTTAAGCGAGTTAAGTGATTAATGCTCTAACCTTCTCCGTATGAGAAGAGGCCTTGGCTCAGTAGTGGGCACTTATAGGCTGATGATGACGAAGCGAGTTAAGGGCAAAAATGTTGAACATTTACGAGCAGATCAGAGAGGCCGGTCTTCAAGCTAGTGATCGCGCAAAAACGTTGGGTTTGAAGAGGGGTCATTGGTCTGGCTTTATAATCCAGTCAGAAGGAAGGGAAAATCTCCGAAGCTGCAACCGAGTTGGGAAGGTCCTTATGAGATAGTCACGAAGATCAATGACATTACTTACAGAATTCGGAAGACTTCAAGGAGCCCTTTGAAAGTTTGATTGTAAATTTCGTCGTGAATTGTCAACATGAATTGGTGAAATCGGTAAGGCGTGTGGATTATACCAGAGAGACCCCGAGTTCGAGTCCCGCCGTAAGCATGAAATTTTTAGTTGATGGGAATTTTTGTTGAACTTTCTGGAAGCTTTTGGGTGAAAGAAATGGAAAATTAAAGAGCGAGAAAGAGAATCAAAAAAATGAATAACGAAATTATTGGAAGGTTCTGGAGTCATGACGATCGAAAAGAATAACGAAATTGAATGTTCCAGAACCTGACCGGGGCTATACCTATGTATATATAAGCGGAACTGCGGCTCACCGCGGGCAGTTGAGTTCTAAGTCCAAAGCGATTCGGAAGAAAAGGAAGAAGTGAAAAAGAAGAAAAGTGAGTGAAATAGTGAAGTGCAGTGAGTTAAGTCAGCGGCAAACGGAAGTTTGTGTCAGTCGGCCGGACTCTGCTGGAGAGGAACGCCGATAACTTAACTCCGTGGACGCTGTGACGCTGTCACTTAAGTGCAATAGAAAGTCTGAAAACCGGTATCAGTGTTTCATTTCATCCAATCCCGTAACCCAAGCCCGCATAGTCAGGAACGTGACGTCAGGCACGTAACAATAATTTTAGTAACTACTGACTATATATTTCAGTTTTGTGCAGTGGAGCCGAATCAACATGCTGCCAGGCATTCTTATCCTCAATATAAACTGAAAGTTTGTGGTATGCCTGTCTTCACAATACGCGTTTAATATAAGTTTTAAATTTTCGTTTGTTATGATTCAATACACTACTTGGAATTTTATTGTAACAATTTACACGGAACCCCGTAAAGGATTTCTGTACTTTGGACAGACGCAATCGTGGCACAGCCAGCCTATCTTTGCCTCTAGTATTAAAATTATGTCTATCGCTTCTTTTTTCAAAACATTGCAATTTTTTCCTTACGTACATAATATGTTCATATATAAACTGACAAGGTACCGTTAGGATATTTATCGTTTTAAATAGTTCTCTCAGAGATTCACGAGGGGGCAAGTTATATATCGCTCGGATAGCCCGCTTTTGCAAAATAAATATTGAATCTACTTCCGCAGTTCGACCCCACAGCAAAATTCCGTACGACATAATGCTGTGAAAATTGCTAAAATAGACAAGCCTTACTGTGTTCACGTCTGTGAGCTGTCTAATCTGTCTAAATGCGAAGACAGCTGAGCTCAGTCTTCCCGAAAGCGTCTTTATGTGGAAACCCCATTGAAGTTTATTGCCTAGCGTAATACCTAGGAACACAGTCTCGTTGACAAATTCTAACTATTGCCCATTTAAAATTATGTCACAATCATTACTGTGTACGATGTGTAGTTGCAAGCTAAATTTAATACATTTTGTTTTTTTCTCGTTAAGTGCTAAATTATTGACTGTAAACCAATTATGAACTTGATAAATGGATCTGTTTACTTAGTCCAAATATTTAACACGTCGACCTATTTTAAAAATTAATGATGTATCATCTGCAAACAGCACCATTTTTGGCTCGGTTTTAAATAGAAATGGTAAGTCATAAACATACACTAAGAAGAGAAACGGACCCAATATTGAACCTTGTGGTACGCCAATTCTTATCTCAGAGCCCCGTGAGTTAGAACCACTTACAAGAACTCTCAGCTGCCTGTCCTCTAAATATGATTTTAGTACACGGAGTGCAGTATGTCTAATCCCGTAATGATCTAATTTCAGCAAGAGTGTTTCATGATCAACGCAATCGAAAGCTTTTGAGACGTCGCAAAAGACACCAACGTCCTCCACCCTCCTGTGCTTCCTCCCAAGCACCGAATACGACCTTTATTCAAATTCAAATTCAAAATTATTTATTTCAGATTTACAATCAGTTCAAAAAGTGACACCGGCGTCAGTTGTACAACGACCTTTAGTGAAACCGTATTGTTGGTGATGTAAGATGGCATGTCTATCAAAGTGATGAAGCATCCGATCACATCTTCCCAATTTAAAAAGCTACTACTCAGATTACAGTTAAAATTATGGAAGAACACATATTCACGGTGTTCCTCAAAGTATTTTCATGGATAATAGTGCCCAATTTATTAGTAGTCATACTCAAGATTTGTTTAAGGAATATAAAATACCGAACATTTTTCTTGCACCAAAGTATACCCGTTGTGCGGTATAACAATACAATAATTACTTGCATTTCAACTTTCGTGGATGGTGACCATCGAACATGGGACTTGTTTATTCCAAAAGTACAATTTGCAATAAATAATTCGGTCAACGAAGCCACCGGATTTACACCTTCATTTCTAGTTTTTGGACGAGAAATAGTATTATGTGGATCGCATTATACAGATACTGACTTGGGTGATGAGGTTCTATTTCATCCTCGCGAGTTATATGCAGAGAACCTTGGATGCCTAAGTTCTATCTTTGTATCAAAAATCCTTGTATCACGCTCATGTAAAAAATACGTTATATTATAAATTAAGACGTAAATCTTTCGAATTTAATATTGGGCATATAGTGTATAAACGTGCTTACGTTCTGAGCGATAAAGATAAGCACTTTATTCTATTCACCGCCAAAAGAAGCCCGTTCCCTTTGCCCTTGGCTCCTGCTTTTCGGGATGTATCCCTGGGGTCCACCGACCGCCTTCAGCTCTTGGGAATGGACATTGCTTCGGACCTCAACTTTGGGCGGTTCATTGAGTCCAGAGCCAAGGTAGCTGCTAGAAAACTCGGCGTTCTTGCAAAAGTCCGACGGTACTTCACACCGAGTCAGCTTCTAATGTTGTATAAAGCTCAGGTCCGATCGTGTGTGGAGTACTGCAGCCACATATGGGCTGGTGCTGCAAAATGCCACCTGGCGGCTTTAGATTCAGTGGGGCGATTCGAAAGGCGTGCAAAGAGGCTGATTGGAGATCCAGATTTGGTTGGGTCCAATCTTCAAAGTCTCTAGCACAGGCGCAGAGTAGCCAGCCTTGCGGTTTTCTACAGGATGCATTTTGGAGAGTGTGCCCAGGAATTGCACGATTTGATTCCGCCATCCCAATTTCACCTTCGGACATCCCGGCGTACGGCGAATATTCACCCCTACGTTGTTGAGACACCTGCGGCCCGGACTAAGCGTTTTGCCTCGTCATTTATACCGCGTACATCGAGGGATTGGAACAGTTTGCCGGCTGCAGTCTTTCCGTCCGAATACAATTTAGGTGTCTTCAAGGCTAGAGTGAATAGGCTCTTAATAAACTAGTGCGCCTTACCATCAACGATCGCATCACTGCTTAACATCAGGTGGGATCGCAGTCAAGCACTAGTTTATTGCAAGTAAACATAATAATAATAAAAAAAAAGCTGTCACCACTTGTACATGTCTTGGAAGACATGACCGGTAAAATGTAGGGTCTTGGCATATGCAGGACTTGAAAATGCCTACCTTGAAATGAACACGATCTTTGTTACGTCCCCCTTTCACTATTAAACTCTTAAGATCTGTTACCAAAGTTAGTGACGACTATTAGTCGCTTAATTTTTTTGTATGTTAGGGCACGTCGTGTAATTGTAATATTGTGTGATGTCTTATGTGATTGGTTTTGAGTCCGTCCCGTCGCCTTCCTCGTGACGTCACCGTACAGCACCGCAGTACATCTTGGCCTACCTTCACTACCATCACCATCCATCTCCGGCCAGCAGAGGGATTACGCCACAACTACAGGGGAGTACTATCCCTGCAGAAGTGACTTCAGACAAATTTAAACCTACGACCCACAAATCTTTGTGTGCCTCCGGCTGTGCTTTTTTTTGTAAAATTTCTTTTTTTAAAAGGTCTTCTTTTCTTTATTTGTATCACCTCGTAGGTGGGAATCAAACGGGTGGAGGTTACAATATATATACATACAAACATTCAAAACAAGTCTCGATGGAGCTGGTAGTCTATCTCTAAAAGCCAATGAAATATAACAAAGTCGTGGCAAGTGTAAGGTTCCTTATTGCGATCTCGTTATTATTATAGTTAATGTTGTGTGCCTTGGCCGTTGAAGGGTAACGCCACGGTTTCCAAGGGACAATGGGTAGCGATTCTGGCGACAGGTAGGTACAATGGTGGCATGGAGCACCTGGTTTGTACTCTTGACTTGGCTAGTTTTTACTATAGTTGCGCTAGTACGGGTCGCGGCTCCCGACCACCACGCATCACGACGGTTGGGGGGCCTTACTAGTGCTGAATGTTTATAATGCCGTCATTTACAATGTAAATAGTTGGGTTGCTTTTCGATAGATTAGGCAGTTTTACCAAAACAAAGATACCATGAACGAATGAATCTTTGTATCCATATTTAATTCAGTAAGTAATGATTAACTAGTGCAGCAAGGCAATCAAAGGAACTAGTACAGCTGAGTACAGAGTACCGGTTCTGCTGGATATTAGGTCTCGGCCTGCGTTGCGAATGTGGCGGTCGGCGAGGCGGAACCCGTGATTAACAAGGGCCTGATCTGAGTGATGTATATTACCGGGGACGTTTACAATGAGGAATAAGATATGAACCATTGAGAAATATATAATGCGGTTGTAGGCGACCGGGGTGTGCGTACTGACCCCTGCGAGCGGATCTGGTGGCGGAGCAGCGCGGCGTCGAAGCGGTGCGGGCGCAGCTGTGCGTCGGCGCGCAGGCAGCGCACCAGGCGCGGCGCGGCCGGCAGGCGCCGCACCAGCGCCGCCACCAGCGCGCGCTGCCGGCAGCCCAGCGCCGCCGGCCGCCGCGGCGACCCCGCGCGCTCCGCCGCGAACAGCGCGCCCAGCAGCGCGCAGCGCGCCGACGCCAGCACCGCCGCGCTCCGCGAGCACACGCCGTCGCGGTTCTGCGCCACCATGCCGCGCGCGCTGTACACCACGCTGCCGCCGAAGTGCACCACCCTGCGCAGGCGGCGTCAGTAGGGGGCGGCGCGCGGGCCGCGGGCTGGGGGGGGGCACACTCACTGGAAGCGGTCGGGCGGCAGCACGAGCAGGCGCGGGTGGCGGCGGCGCTGCAGGCGCTGCAGGAAGGCGGCGTCGCCGGCGCCGCGCGCCGAGCAGTCGCGCAGCGCGCCCAGCAGGCTGTCGGGCCCGGCGTCCAGCAGCGCGGCGGCGGCCTCGTGGTCCGCGTAGTGCAGAGGCCGCCAGAGGAGCCCCTCGCGCGCGTACTCGTCCTGCTCGCGCCGCAGCGTGGCGTCCGTCACGGCGGCCTGCACGCGCTCGGCCGCGTAGTTGATGAGCAGCCGCTCCAGCCCGTTGCGCGCCAGGGACTCGAACCCGTACACGTCCAGGATGCCCAGCGAGCAGCGCTTGCCCGCGTCGCCCGGCTGCAACCATCGCCATGTACTCACACACACATTATACCCCGTGTGTACAGCGACACCCACACACACGCTCATATTATGGATCTGTTTACAACTAGTGTGTCTTCATTTAAGAAGACTCTTTGCTTTAACAACTTTGCCGTAGTATTAAATGTCTCCAACACTATTTTGTACTATTTTCTATTGTATCAGTGTAACAATGTGTGTAACGCTGGCTACCGACTACTACTCAAGTCTCATAACTTGTCATACTTTGTTATCTTTAACGTTATGTCTGACTGGACGTTAGATGGGCCGCTACAAGTATATATGTAACATACTTTGTGCCTCGTTCTAACAAATTTGTATAGAACATTCCGAGGAGGTGTTACGGGACTTTACACACTCTATGTTCTAAATCAGCTGGAAGCAGACGGTCGTGTCACCCTAACTTTAAGGCGAGGGAAACCACGGGTAAAGCTAGTTCTGTACAATTGATGATGGTAGTGTAGGGCTGTGTGTGGAGCGTTATTGAGGAGAAGGGGTGAGTGGCAGCAGAGGCAGTAGCGGCACCTTGATGTGGTCGTTGACGGCGTTGATGAGCCACGTGAAGAGGCGCGAGTACAGCACGGCCAGCAGGCGGTCGCGGCGCGCGCCGGCCCAGGCCGCGCCCCCCGGCGACCCCGCGCCGCCCTCCGCCGCCTCCTCGGGCGCCGCGTCCTCGTCGGGCGCCGCGCCCAGCGCCGCGCCCAGCGCGTCCGCGTCCACGCCCACCAGCGCGCACGCCTCCACCAGCTCTGCAACACGCGGGAGCGGTGGGTGCCGCGGCCTGCGGGGGCGGGGCGGGGGCGGGGCCTCGTGCCACCCACCGTAGCGCTGCTGCAGGCGCGTGCCGATGGTGCCGTCGATGTTGTGCTGCGGCTCGAAGTCGACGTTGGCCAGCTTCAGCAGGAAGGCCAGCAGACGCAGCACGGAGTCGGCGGCGCCGCCCAGCCCCAGCGTGCGCAGCGCCGCCTGCAACGTACGTATGTACTTGCGCCGCACTACACACACGCGCGGCAACCCTTGCGGATGCACACTACGAAGCGCATTTAACACAACATTAAATAATAATAACGCATCCAGCGCTTCCCCACACTAGCGCTGTATTTCCATAAGACGTTTACATTAATATTAAGCCCATTTGAAGAAATCCTAAATATTGGAAATGATGAAATTACTAGTTACTACCTCTTCGTCCAACCAAGCAGGGCATGTCGTACATCCCTATTTTCTCCGAAATATAAGATAACGTCATATACAACGCAATTCATTACCATTTGGAAATACAAGTTTTTTTGCAAAGAAAAGGCTAAATCAATTAATTTAACTATTTACGATCGTATGACTACAGTGTACACTAGTACTAACCACCGCGTTCCTGGGACGGCGACATTTATGGACATGACAACTCTCCAACGACGGCAAGTTGACACCAATGAACCTGTGTCTGTGAGCAATACCCCCGCCCCACACTAGTTGGCACCCCTAGAGACTAGACCCGCGGACACTCATCACACAGGTTAAGCACTCGTTCAACCCCCACGTCCCCACGTAGCTTTAACCTACGATGTTATTTCCCCACAAATGAGTGAGGTCCTAACCAAAAGTCCATCTTTAGATCAACGATAAACTCCTATATAAAATTAGTATTGACATTTTCCTCCGCATTTTAGATAAAAATAAAGATAAAGATCGTTTTATTTGCCTAAACATGTGTAGGTTATAATAATACATGCAGAAATGGATGTTCATAATACATGTACAGTATTGTTTGTATCAACATGCTTAACCATGACTGGTGTACAAATATTAATTAATTTTGTAATAAATCTATAATTAAATGTCAAGATTGAACTAATAATGTCAATTACAACGAAATAATAAAGTTAATACACACGAGTCACAAGAAATAACAAGAATACAATAGTTAGTTATTGTTAAATATTACAATTTAAGTAACATTACGTTTAGTCATTCAAATGCAACTGTCACATAGGAACTCATGAATATTATAATATTTTTTTTTAATTACGGTACTTTTAAGGGTTGTTTTATATTGGCGTTCAATTTTTTCATCGAGTTAGGTATGTGATAATTATTGGAGCTTTGCATACTACACTTTTGTGTAAAAGCGCTGTTTTAGCCGGCTCGATACAAAGTGTACTGTTGTCGCGGCGTTGACTATGTGAGGGTACGTGGATAAATAAATGCATTATGAATGGTGAATACTTTATGCTTAGTAAATAATGGTTTACAGCTCTCCGTACTTTGAATACCGAACATAGCACGTATGCATCTTGCACTTTGAATACCATGTCCCTGTCAGTGAAATTTCCCCAAAAAATATTGCCATACCTGAGGACAGGGTCGACAAGCCCGTAGTATGCACACAGTAGTGCACTATGGTGGATGGTTGGAGCAAGTTTATAATGTGTATGAGACACTACTGATCTTTCTACATAGTAACTTTATATGCTCTTTCCAGTTTAACTTACTGTCAATAGTTACGCCAAGAAATCGAGCCGTACTAGCTTCTTTTATAGTATTATTATTATACATCAACTTTATATTTTGTGAATTTGTAATCTTTGTCCAAAGTTTTAGTCAGATTTATTTTTAAATTATTATTATTGAACCATGAAACTATAGATATCAAAGAGTTATTAATGTCAGAATTATCTTGGTGAATGTCCTTACATGCGATTGTAACAGTATTATCATCAGCAAATAATGTCATAGGTTGATTCGTTGCAATTGGCAAGTCGTTAATATAAATAATAAATAATAGTGGACCCATTACGGTGCCTTGGGGAACACCGTACGTCACCGTAGAGGTGTTATGTTTCTTCTTTGTTGTATTATAATTTACTTATAAATGTCATTTGTTGTCGATTTGTTAAATAGGATCCAATTAAGTCTAAAATGTTTCCTCTTAAACCATAAGCGTCAAGTTTATTCATTAATATATTTTTATCTACGTAGTCGAACGTTTGTGTCATTAGCAATACATAGCGCAAACGGGTGATGTCTTGTCAACGTAACACAAGACTTTTTCTAAACATTCGTATATTGCAATGTTGACTGATTTATTTTGTCGAAAACTTTTTTGTTCATTACATAATATTTGTTTACTTTCAAGATAGGAATAGATTTTGATGTATAAATATTTTTCAAAGACTTTGGCAAATATTGGTATTAAAGCAATGGATCTGTAGTTATTCATCAATTGCTTGTTATCTTTTTTGAATAGAGGCTTTATAATTGATAACTTGAGGGCGTTTGCGAATATTCCCGCTGATATAGACAAGTTAATAATGTGGCTTGATGGTGAGATATATACTCATCAACATGTTATATTATTTTGGTCGAGACCTGGTCATAGCCTACACTGTTTGTGTTTTTTATAATTAGACTTAGGTATCTTTGGGGTGAGCTTGGTGCAAGAAACGTGGAGCTTGCTCGACTCTCAATAAGACGAGTTGCTGGCAATGGAGGGATTCCATAAAGCTTATATTATTAGCGCTAGAGCGCGCAAGCGACAACTCTGACTTTGTATAAGTATGGATATCGCAATCACCATAGTGAAGGCGAAGTGGTCGCGGTCCTGGTCGACGGAGGGGGGCGCGGCGGGGGGCGCGGCGCGGCGCGGGGACGCGGGCTCCGCCTCCGCCGGCGTCCCGCGCAGCACGCGGTACTGCTCCCACGACCGCTGCAGCCGCAGCCGCTCTGCAACAGGCGCGGGGTGAGCGGCCGGGGGAGGGGGGGGGGGGGCGGGGCGGGGCGGGGCGCGGGGCGCGGCACTCACTGAGCAGGCTGACGTCGGCGCCGGCCAGCAGCTGGTACAGCACGTGGAAGTTGCGCTCGCCGAGCACGGCGCCGCACACGCGCTCCTGCAACACGCGTTCGTCATTGGTTGCACTGGGCGCTCGCCCGCTCATGCCCTACCCGACTACCTCAACTTACCTTCTCCAGCAGGTCTGCTTGCAACACAACAAGTGCGTCATTACAATGCGACAGTAGAGCGCGCTACACTACTACGCTGCATACTCACAGTGCGTGATGTGTCCGCCCACCGGCTCGCCTTTGAAGTCATACTCGATCTCCAGCAGCTTGCCCTGCAACCGACCACCGTCACCGTCTCAGCGCTGCGACCACCGCATGTCCTTTACTTATATAAACTGTACAACAGCTTAGCTTCGGCACGAATGGGAGTGATGCCACGGCCCCACACAAAAACAACGTGAAACAACCACAGCGTTGTGTTTCGCCGTGTGTGGTTCCTGCAGGCTCAATACCTCCCTCCCCCCTATCCCTTCCCAATGCTTGATGTTGCGTGTCCATGAGCGGCGCCGATTGCTTACCATTAGGTAATCCGTTGCACGATTGCCGACTTATTCTATAATATACGTACTCACAGCGGACGGCCCGCAGGCCCACCTCTAAACTACACATACTGTATACTCTCTTAATGTTTACTTAGAGTGGGGCTGCCATCTCCTCAACCTACCCCCCAGGACCGGGTTTTGTAGCTTTCATCTCGGACTTTTAAGTTTTAATGTTTTTTTAATTTAATTTTTTGTTTTAATTTAAGTGTGGGAGAGCCATGCTTCGGCAAGAATGGGTCGGCTCGACCGGAGTGATACCACGGCCTCACAGAAAACCGGCGTGAAACAACCAGAGCGTTGTTTCGCCGTGTGAGTGAAGTTACCAGAGGCCCAATCCTTCCCCTCCCCAATCCCTAAATCTCCAAATCCCTAATCAATAAAAGGTCGGCAACGCACTCGTAACTCCTCCGTTGCGGGTGTCCATGGGCGGCGCTGATTGCTTACCATCAGGTAATCCGTTCCTGTACGTATATTTATGTTCGCGATTGGTTGACTTGACTTAGATGTGATATTATTCGTTACTCTCAGGACAGGTTTTGGTATTTAAACCGACTTTTAAAAAGAGCGGTCCTCAGCACCACCCATATGTAGGTAGTTATCCGGATTATACCCGGACTACAATTTGAGCCACCTGAACCCTCACGACGCTTCCCGTCGTCCTAACTAGAACAAATCCGAGGGCACCTGGACGGACGGCAGCCCTCAGTAAAAACAATGCAGTATACATCTATCGGTGGAAGTACGTGGAGTGGTAGTTACAAAGCGGCTGGCGTTGTGGTTGCGCGACGTGGCCGCGTTGCCGAACGCCTCCAGCAGCGTGCCGGCGGCCGCCAGCGCGGGGCCCGGCGCGGGGCGCGGCGCGGGGCGCGGCGCGGGGCGCGGCGCGGGGACGGCCGCGGGGCCCGCCGCGGGGCCCGGCCCGGCGCCCGCCAGCACGGCGCACTGCAGGCACACGCGCGCCGCCTCCGTCTTGCCCGCGCCGCTCTCGCCTGCAACGTCAGCGTAACATTGGACTTCCCGTCAAGAAGCAGCTCAAAAGATTGCTACATTACCCAATAAACACAACACAATATTTCAAAATACCCACCCTACCCGAGATACAGGCATTGCCTAATTTACAGGACACTCACATTTATAAAATTAATTACATGGTGTATCACTTGATAATAAAATATAAATGATTCCAAGCATTTTTATCCTCTACATATAATATAAACATTTAGTTTGTAGTATGCTTTTCTACATAAAGTTTCCTTTATACATGACTAGCTCTTACCCGCGGCGTCGCTCCCGTCATTTGACTACCTACCCTACTCTACCTACCCCGCTCTACCTACCCTACTCTACCTACTCTATCCTATCCTATGTCCTTCTCCCAGTTCTTAGCTACCTCCCTAATTTTCAGCTAAATCGGTTCAGCCGTTCTTGAGCTAAAAGTGTTGTAACTAACACGACTTTCTTTTATATATATAGATTATAATTTGCTTTCATATTTTTGGAAAATCATCAGATGACTTCTCCCGCCCAGGGCCGGGCGGGAGGGAGTGTCAGACTCTTACTGACTAAAAACCTGTTCCTTCTCCTGCTCTGGGCCGAGGTCGCGGTGCCTCATTGCGCTTACCCCGCAACCCCGGCTGAACATCAGCCCTTTAGGGCAACGTCTGTGGTGGTCTATTGGCTCTTTGAGGCGCGCGCGGAACGCTACGCGCCGTACGCTCGGGCCAGGTTCTGGTCGGGCGGCGAGCTGCCCTTACTCGCCGACCGCAGACCCGTGCTTACGGTGGCCGGAGATCATCTCTCGATCACTGACGCCCGGAATGTCGCCTGTTGCGGCGGCTGGGGCGTGAGGAGGAGGATTGACTCTTTGCGAGCATAACTGCTTCACAGAAGGAGGAGACGGCATCCCAGTTCCTCTCACTCCGCACCATGGCCTCGGCTAATGCCGGGCGCGAGAGGTCGCCGCCGCCGATCACTTCCCTGAGGACACGGCGGTGCTCAGCCCAGGCAGGGCATACCGCTACCGTATGCTCCACCGTATCCTCTAGGTGGTCCTCGCAATGACGAGACTCGGGCGTTTCCTCCCGCTGGATCCGAAATAGGAACCTGCCGAAGCTGCCGTGCCCTGTAAGCTCTTGCGTCAGGCTGAAGGTGAGGACGTCGTGGCGTCTCTCAAGCCACTCCTCAAAGAGGGACAGTGACACACTCAATGAAGGACAGGGTCTTAGCGCTGCTATAACAGCGTGCCCGAAATCGACATGGTACGGTCATGATATTGATATCTTTAAACTTTTCTCAGAGTGATACGCGACGACCTAAGTTATTGATAGCTCTGACAGCAATCAATGAATGTATGAATCAAAAATCGTCCTGCTAGAGATCTGGTGTTGGGCCTCCATTGCCGTCAGTCGTTAACAGTAATTCCTAGGAAAGTAGTCTCCTTTACAAATTCCAGTTTCTGACCATTTTTAATATATCGTAACATTTGGCAAAATAAATCTAATGCATTTTGTCTTTTTATCGTTAAGTACTAAGTTGTTTTTTGTAAACAAATCAATTTTGAACCTTCCCCATGAATTAACATTGCTGACTTGTACTTCAAGTTGTCTTCCTAAAGGAAGACCTTCCTTCAATAAACATAGAGTTAGATTTCGATATTCCGATGGAATGTGCTTTTTACTGCGAGGCGAAAACCTGCTTTATACGTGATACTCCTGCGTCTGGAGTGAAACGTCATTTGGCGAACCCGTCTTGTTTAGCATGAAAATTGGAGTTTGGGTTAAAGTGACGCAGCATATCAGAAAGTATTGTGTTACCTTTTAAACGCTTTACTGAGCACTGGTAAAATAGAGATTGGCCTGTAGTTATTAGGTTCTGTACTATCACATCATTTAAACAATGGAATGGAGAGGAACTAGGAAACCGTCTTCTCTTTCTGCGAAACAGAGCTCTCAAAGGAGTAGGCGGAGCGCGGAACTATCCTCCTCACGCCTCAGCCGCAAGGCGGCGCGGCATGGCGCGGCACGGCAGCCGCGGCGTAGGCGACACTCTGAGCGCCGGGGATCGAGCGAGATCTCCGGCAAAGCTTGGGCGACACTGCACGATGTTGTCGCAGGAGTGCGTCGACTTGGAGGTGTTTAATTCATCCAAAAATTATAACAGTTGGAACTATTTCATTTCCAGCTTTCTTATAAACATTTAATCATAAAATATAAGAAGATAATATTAAGTTAAAAATCAAAACATTCGTATGTTAGGTGCATATGATGAGAATTATGAAGTGAGGAGTCAGTGCGACAGCCAACTCACCCGTGATCACTATACATTGGCTCTCGTTCCTGTCGCGCACCCAGCGGTACGCAGTCGCTGTGATCGCGTACCTGCGAGCAACGACAAGGTAAGTGGGAAGTGTGGGGGGCAGGGGGCGGGGGCGCTAGGGCCGGGCGACTCACAGGTGGGGCGGCAGCTGGTAGGGCGGGCGCGCCAGGTAGGCACGCACCAGGTCCGCCGAGTACAGCGGCAGCGGGCGGCACGGGTTCAGCGACACCAGCGCGTTGCCCACGTACGTCTGCAACACGCGCGGCGTCAGGCGGCGCCGGGCGGCGGCTCGCTGCAGCGGCCGGCGCGCCGATACTCACGTATATTATGTCTCGTTTGTAGCGCACGTGCAGGTTGTGTAGGAACGTGTCCTCGGACAGGGGCGCCAGCAGCACCGCGTCCGGCTGCCCCACGCCCTCAGCGTCCGCCATGGCTGTGCTACCGTCACCGAGCTGAGAGCGCCATGGCGCCGGTACGCCGGCCTCCTCGCCGTCACCTGGCACTGCTCATGGCGCCAACACCCACGCGGTCACCTCTGTGCCACAACACATGTGCTTGCACTCACTCGCTCATGCTAGCTCAATATAGAAACAATAACTTCATTATTTGATAATTATTGAACTTCTACTTCTTTCAATCATTGTAATACATGAGTCATGGTGGATCAGGGTATGTGTTGAGCCTTCAAATCCCAAGCAAATTCCAACATTCACATACATACTGGTCTTCTGCTGTGTTGAATTACCATAATTGAAAGGTGAATAGTTGCAACAACTGTACAAAAAACAAATCAGCTGTTTCATCTTAGATTGGAATTAAAAAGTTGAAATTTTGTTGACAGCTAATGTGAAATGAATTAATTTATTTATGCTTTCTTTTTTCATCCACCATTGAGCAGGGCTTGCATAACATATGAGGAACTGTGTTACACAGATGTTAATACACATTTTGACATAAAAGTAAACTCCCCAGGCATTAGATTGCAATTGGGGCACTAGTACCACTTGTAAACTACGGTACAGCCCTAGTACAGTACCACCTCTATTGCTATCATATGGGGAGACACTAACACTGCTTGTTTAGTGTATAAACACATAGCCAAGTTCTATTTTGTTGACAATCCTATCAGATGTAGAAAAGAGAAATTTAAATAATTCTGTGCCGGTCACACAACATGATTATAAAGCTCACACAAAGGTAATTTATACCCTAGGTATGCTAGAAAATATTCATACTTCAACATTTTACTGGTAAACACTTGGACATTTTAACATTTGGGGAGAAGTTTATAATGAATTAAGTAATAATTAAAAGCAACATTTCACCTTGACATTGAGAATTCAAGTAGAAAGGAATTCTTAGCACCTTATTTTATAAATCGTTAACATTTTTTATTTATAAATGTATTAAGATTTTTAATTAATTAATAATAATCTGCTTCTTCTCACTAAGCCACTGGTTGTTATGCCTATAATAACCACTACAATAATTAATTTACATCATTACAACAATCTGGAGGTCACGCAGCACCAATTGATTTTTTAATTATTTAATAAATAAGCACATGAAGAAGTGATTTAAAATAAATTCTCTAATTGCACTGTACGAGTGCTATTTCATTTTAGTAGTTTGACATAATTATGACGTTTTCATGACATAAACACCAATTCTGCGCTGTGTTGCCACAGGTCATACTAAATCCATAATAGAGCTTCATTGATTTTTAGGCCTTTATTTATTTTTAAACTTGACACACAATTTGTAAATATTCTAAATCTAATCTAATACAGTATCGCAGTTTCAGATAGTTCCCTAGCCTTAGGTGGTCTGAATTCAAGAGAACCTTTCTCTTTTTCAGACAAAATTTGGAACAATCACGCCGTATCTAAAAGTCGGTAGGTACTACGTACATCATCAGGGTCTTGATTAAATCGTCTGACTTAAGCCCACTCAAATTTTCATCGAACCTTTTAATCACAGATGTTTAAAAGCAAAAGAAGACGAAAATCTGGCAGTAGAATCACGTAGAATAAAGGACTTAGGCTGTAAGTATAATAAATATTAATTGACATTATTTTATTTTTATTTATTTAACTCTTTATTTCAGGCTACTAAGGCCCATAAACACTTACACTTTATGTTGGGTATCCTTAGTAATTACTTTACAATTGAACAATCCAACAGACTTATTAAAAAAGAGATATTATTATTAGAAATTGTAACTTAGCATAAAAAAATGCTTAGTGTGTCGATATAAAATGGGCATAAGTTATTCACTTATAATATATGTGTTGCTGCAATGTAAATATTAATAATTGCCTAATATTTGTGTTGGAAATTTATCCGGATAAATAGTCAAAATAAATAGGTAAGCATTGTGACAAATACCCAGTAAATGTCCATTTATACAACCGACTCGTAGGTAGCTAAAGCGAATACAAATACGATTTGAATGAAATAGGACTGGCATAGATTTGAGTCCGCCACGAAAATGTTTTTTTGCTTCGAACGTCACCTATTTATTGCTATCGCCTATCTATAATATAAGGTATAGTTGTATTGGCGATGCAAAGATTCTAACTAGCGCCTCTAGTGTCAAAATTATGAAGCTTTCTAAGAATGACACTTTGGCAGTTGCTGGGCACAGGACTAATTTTTCAATATAGTCTTAATGCGTAGACAGAAATCATAATGTTATCTGAGGAATAAAATTGTTGCTGTCACTGTTTTATACAAACATTCTAACGCGACAGCATCGTAATTATTGTACAGGTAACTTTTATGTAACCATTGAGAAATAAGCCCTAAAACAATAATTATGCTGTCAATAGCAATGATATTATAAGTAAAAGCCGCTAGAGGCGTGCGGATAATCTTTGCATCGCCAATACTGGCTCTTTGAGTTTGAGGCACGCATTGAACGCTACGCTACGCTAGTGTGTCGTGGTGGCCCGGAGGTTAAGGAGCCCGCTTCTCATGCATGAGGGTGTGGGTTCGAAACCTGGCCAGTACCAATGTCACTTTTTCCGAGTCATATGTACTTTCTATGATTATTTAGACACCACTGAAAAACGGTGAAGGTAAACATCGTGAGGAAACCTTGACTTATAATTTCTAATTATAAATTTGAAATCGCCAATCCGCATTGAGCAAGCGTGGTGATTAACGCTCTAACCTTCTCCGTATGAGAAAAGGCCTTTGCTTATAGGCTGATGATGATTGAACGCTACGCGCCGCACGCTCCGGTCTGGTTCTCTGTCCGACGAAGACGAGACCCAGGTACTTGACCGCTGACTGACACCGATGGTAACCCCTGATGGCGCGTTCCGAAGGCCTTGAAAGCACAAGGCCTCGAACTCGGGGAGTGCCACCTTTAGTCCCAGCTGCCCGATCTTTGTAACGAATGTCGCGACCGACAACATCAACGGTCAGTCGCCGCCTTTTTTTTGTGAGGGGAAAATCATCAAATGACTTCTCCGGGAGGCAGTGTCAGTCTCTTACTGACTAAAAACCCCCTGTTCCTTCTCCTGCTCTGGGCCGAGGTCGCGATGCCTCATTGCGCTTACCCCGCAACCCCGGCTGAACATCAGCCCTTTAGAGCCCCGTTTGTGGTGGTCTATTGGCTCTTTGAGGCGCGCGCGCGCTACGCACCGTACGCTCGGGCTTGGTTCTGGTCGGGCGGCGAGCTGCCCTTACTCGCCGACCGCAGACCCATACTTACGGTGGCCGGAGATCGTCCCTTGATCCCCGACGCCCGTAGTGTCGCCAGTTGCGGCGGTTGGAGTGTGAGGAGGAGGATTGCTGCCTCACGAGGGCCGCCTCTCTCTTTGCGAGCATGACGGCTTCACAAAAGGATGAGACGGCGTCCCAGTTCCTCTCACTCCGCACCATGGCCTCGGCTAAGGCCGTGCGCGAGAGGTCGCCGCCGCCGATCACTTCCCTGAGGACACGGCGGTGATCAGGCAGGGCATACCGCTACCATATGCTCCACCGAATCCTCTAGGCGGTCCTCACAATGACGACACTCGGGCGTTTCCTTCCGCTGGATCCGAAACAAGAACCTACCGAAGCTGCCGTGCCCGGTAAGCACCTGCGTCAGGCGGAAGGTGAGGACGCCGTGGCGTCTCTCAAGCCACTCCTTAAAGAGGGGTCTTACCGCTGCTATAGTAGCGTAACCGGCCCTCGGTTGCGACAGTCGCTGCTTCCACTCAGCCATGAAATCGCGCCGGAGCTCATTCCGCCACGCGCTAATTTGGCGCGGCAGAGGATCCAGAGGCCTTCGCTTCCAGATCCCACGGCGGTGATCCGGCAAGGAGTCAGTCGCCGCCTGATGCGACCTCCTATTCGCTAAGACCAGTGTGTCGTCAGCGTAGCAGACCACCTTGACTCATCTCGTGAGGTCGGTTCACTGCTGACAATAGCTTACTATAACAAAAAGGGTCGATACCATTTTCCGTCTAGCCCTTTCGCAACGCGCGAAAAGCAACTTCGTTCCAATAGAAAGGCTTTTCAATACCGTTGAAAAGCCTTTCTATCTTCAAATATTCAAAAATATTTAAATTCAGTAGTTTGTAAGCATGCTATATATTATATATGCCACAGATCTGGGACGCCGTCTCCTCTTAATGTAAAGCAGTTGTGCTCGCAAAGAAGGAGGCGAGCCGCGTGATGGACCTTAGCAATTAATTAAAACAATCGTCAGATAGGACAGCAGAGAACAAAAAAAATATCGGCGTTGGGGAGTAAGCGCAATGAGGCACCGCGACCTCGGCCCCGAGCAGGAAAAGGAACCTCCTCCTGCCCTACCCTGGGCGGGAGAAGTCATTTGATGATTATCTCCTCACAAATAAAAAGCGGAGAACAAAATAAAAAGTACCTGGATAATCATTAGCATCACACTATAAAATTAAGTCGCTTTCTGTGTCCCTATATTCCTATGTATGCATAAATCTTTAAAGTCAGGCAACACATTTTGATGCCATTTATTACATAAATAGAGTGATTGAAGAGAAAATGTGAAAAAAACTACATTTTGTAACACCTTTTATGTAACTGTATTCAAATAAATCCTTTGACTTTGACCATACTTATGTATAGAAACATCCATTATGTATGGAAAATCCTCATGGAGACCCACCGCCCTCGGGTAAGGGCGAAGGTACTGTCAGACTCTTACTGACTAAAAACCAAACCGGTGTGCCTCCAATAACCCATGTGTCGGAGGGGCGGGTATCGCCGAAGCATTCGTCGCAACCCCCCGACGGGTCACTCGTCTACTCAACTATTATAAATTATCATGCACTAGTTCTTATATCTCTCTAGAAATAATTTAGTACTAAGTAGGTACCTTTATTTTATTATTTTTTTCTTTTAATTAAAAACTTTGCCCCGCATTAGGATTTTCTCCTGTGTCGTGGGTGCGTTTACAAACATACAATTTCACATGCACATTACACCCAGACCCGGAACAACAATCTGTGGATTACACAAAGAGTTGTTCCGTGCGGGAATCGAACCCGCGGCCCGCGATACGTTGCGCGGCAGCCAGTTGCTCAGCCACCGCGCTAACCGTGCAGTCCTTTAACAACACAACACAAAAAACATAAACTTATCAAACAAAACCTCAAATTATTTGGAATTTCATCACACTGCCTTTTTTGAATTTACCTGTATGACTTTTGGAAATGTCTAATTTCTATTTTTTCATCTCAATTAAGTAGGTATAGTATTTAAGATTTTTTGGAAATGTCCTACCCCATTTATTTTAAATTTAACCGTATTGCTCAAGATGACACATAATGGTTTTTTAAAATAAGTAGTTCGTCTGCTCATTGCAATCACTACATTAATAATGCCCAAATAAGGGTTCAAAATAACGTTAAGAGCAAGTATGTGATACGTTAAATGGGTAAAGAAGACTACCTACTTTCTTGGGATTTAATGTGAACGACAAGATGAAATGGAGGCCCCACGTCATTAATGTGGGCCTCAACCAAGGAGGTTCTTAACCTAAATATAATGTTTCTTAGCAAGGAGTACCTATATCTAAAACCAAATTAGGTACAGGAAAAGAGTCAGATTAAGAAAGCAAGAGTTTCTCTGATTGTAACTTAGCAATAAAATAACAGTACAATATGAATGTGTCAAATAAAGTAACACTGGCATTAATTTTTATTTTATAATAAATCGGAGATACGTAGGTATTTCCTTGAATTAAAATAATAATAGTTACCTAGTGAAGAAAACTATGAAAAATGGAAACAAGAGGGAACACTAAACGTAAAAAATGGAAAACACGCAAATGCTTAAACGAGATTAGAAAAAGATCTCGGCGTGCAGGACAAATTTTTTTCGAAAGAGAAAACTGTGATCTTTCTGATGTTATACCGAATTACAACAAATGTATTATAACAAATAAACGGTTATCTCTTAGAATGTTCCCAAAAACAGTTAAGTCTGAAACTATTACACGACCTGTATTGGCCAACCTAAAACAAAAACCTGACTTGAAGTTCAACGAATTAATAAATGGCAGTAAAGTTTTAAGCTCAATAAATTCAAGCGTTGTTAAGTTATCCGGATTTGCTGATACTTTGGACAACAGCAATAATCATTTTGAACGTTATAAGGTAGAAAACTCGGTCTCATTAATATGTTCAATGGGATCAAATAAATACAATGACTGTAATGTTATCAATATGTGGAGCAAAGAAGACAAACTCAATGACCCTTTAAATGTTTACTCTACATTTAATCTCGACGAAATATCTAATAAATCGCCTGGCATTATAGGATCTCACTCAGGATCGTCTACGTCGTCATCTAGCCCCAGATTCAACGACAATTTTGGTTACAATTTATATGAAGAATTCATTTCTGAAATTCCTACATATTTAAAACAAACTGTGAAAACTATGGAAGGAGATGTTATAAAAAACACTAAGACGTTTCTAAAACAACTTTGTATTCGTGAGTGCTGTTACCAGGAAAAGGAAGAGAATTTGGTAAAATGCATGAAATCCACGAAGCAATATTATACCCCTAGGAAGGTAATCGTTCACAATCCTATGGATTTTATCAGAATGAGCCATGTCCAACAACAGAGTTTGTTCCAACAGTCACCAAGATTGAGGAGAACGTTAAGTGAAAGCAGCAGTTTCCCTCCTTCGCCCGTTGTGGCCTCATCGTCACCAGCTACCTTACATGACATCGCTTCTTCTCCGGAGTCGCCGTTGAGCATTATTGTTAGCGACACGCCACATTATTCTTACTATCCTCACAGATTGAATTGATATAAGTTGGTCAACAAAGATACCTAGTTGCAACGATTTTCCAAATAATACATACCTACACCTACTAAGTATTACGTATCTGTCTATTCTACCAAATGATGTACCCACCTACATATGTATGATTTAAGATAGATTGTAGTTGATTAATTAATCGAGGGTTAATGCGTGTTATACATAAATTCGCTAAGGCAGTGAATGTTAATTATAAATAAATATTATTTATTAAGTCACATCTATAAAACATTAACGGTTTTTTCAATCATTGACACTAACTTTTAGGTAAACCAGTAATATCGTCCGTTTGTTAGATGAATAAAAAAATGACGATATTGAAATATCGTGTGAAATATGTTAATGTCTCAGACGACAAAATAAATAAAAATGTCTATTTGTTTCTTATATCTAATGTTGGTATTGTTGATCGAAGTATCTAATGGACGGACTAACGTACCCAGTCATTATATCATACTATTTACACAAGTTGGTACAAAATAAAAAAAAATGTACGAAAGTAGTCGTTCTTCTCCGTAGGTATTTATCTAGACTTTGGAACGAGCAAATAGCTTCACGAAGAGGGCTGACCGACAGACTGACACTTTAAATTTCATTTGACGTTTAAGAGTGCCTGTAAGGGTCTAATTGAAATAAATTATTTTTACTTTTGCCTTTTAATATAAGTACCTACCTACACTTAGGTACTTAGATAGCTACCACCTACTTGTAAAGCCGGGATTTTGTCATGTTTTGGTTTTTTATTCCTAAAATAGGTGTGTAGGAGAATTTGTTGCGGATAATCCAGGGTGATAAGAGGCGCGCGTAGAGAGCATGAAAAACATGACGGCATGCTTGTAAATTGACTTGTTGTGAGTGGGGTTATACACCCACAGACTTATATTTGATATAAGTCTGTGGGGTGTTGTTGCCTGTTTATCCATTAACTGTTTCTGTCTTAAAACTACTTTTAAGTTTTAAAAAGAAAATTTGAAAAACCATAAATATATTCATCCAATCAGGAAATCAAATAAAGTAATGTATGTCTTCTCTAGTTTATATTATTATACAAAGAGTATTAAACAATCAATATGTGTAATAGAACAGATGCATTTTATTTATGTTGTTATTATAAACCAATATTTTCCAACTGTGCAATCAAATCCATGTGCTTGAAGGTGTCTGGATTCTTGGTAAAAGTGTTGAGTAGTTGTAACTTAGTAGAATCTTTTCCACTGTAATACATTTGAAACTGATTTGCTAGACATTGAGCCTCTTGACCATCCAACACATTCTGGAAAAAGAAATGAAATTAACTTTCCATAATACTGATTGTTGTTCACCAATTCAATGTGATAGAATTATGAAATTACAGGTGGTAAGAATGTGTCACAACAAAAGAGTATATTACATGTTATAGAAACTAGCAACCATACAATTTTGAATTGACAGTGGATGCAACAGTTCATCATTTGAATGGACAATAATATAGACATAAACAAGTGTGACTAGTAGGTATACAAGAAAAATCAGACCTTATCAAATTCCCCACGCATGAGAATAAGTCCTTTGTCAGCAAGCTCTGTGTAGTGCACTATGGTGAGGCACTCAGGTGCATTCTCTTTGTGTACCTGCAGAAATGATATATAACAAGAGTTGAGGGTGTGAATCACAAATTAGGGTAAGGTAACCAGTCATATTGTCCAGCAATCTATATCTTTAGTAATCTCTACATTTTTAATAATCAAAACAAGTGATGTGGTGGTTGCCCAGGGGTTAAGGAGCCCGCTTCTCATGCATGAGGGTGTAGGTTCGAAACCTAGCAAGTACCAATGCGACTTTCCGAGTTATATGTAATTTCTATGATTATTTAGACACCACTGGCATACAGTGAAGGTATAATTTCTAATTATAAGATTGGAATCGCCAACCCCATTCAGCAAGTGTGGTGATTACTGCTCTAACCTTCTCCGTGTAAGAAGAGGCCTTTACACAGCAGTGGTCACTTATAAGCTGATGATGATGATGAATACAAGTGAACAGACTACAGACCTGGTAAGCAAGTAATGGTGTGAAGTGTACTGTATGTCCATGACTCTGGCACATAATGAACTCATAACCCTGAGACCGTGGCAGTGGGAACAGGAAAGTGGGGCACTGTTGCATTTGTTGCTGTAGGCTGCAATAAGTATCCTTTGGAATGGTTGCTGATATTACTTCTTTGCTCTTGTGATATTCTTCCCAAATCTGTTGGATTTCTTTTGCATCTTTATCTTTGACAAGTTCTATCTTAAATATATCACTTAGTTTTTTCTCGTTTGCATCTGACACTTCCTCCAATGCTTGTTTAGGATTCAAAACTGAAGAAAATTGTCTGAAAAATAGGAAAACAGCTTAAATATAAAGTTCAATGCTTTGGAAGCTATCAAGTGCTAGGCCAACACTAATTCGCGACATCTGGAGGTTCCCCACCTTGTATCGACTGACGCAAACTTTTTCTTCTTCTCCTCTTCCTTGGATTGCTGTTGAAGTTCAACTCTTTGCATAAACTCTTCAGGAGAAGTTTTTTGCAAATCTGCGATACGCGCAGCATATTTCTCATAGTATGGATTCGTTTTTAAGTTTTCTAAAGCCTTATCCATTTTAGGTGAAGAGGTTTTTAGACAACGTAAACTTATCGTTACGTAATAAGGACGACCTATACTTCTTGTTAGAGCCGTAAGTACTTTAGCCATAACCTATTCCCAAGTCCTAGGATGGAGAACAAATCAAGATGCAATTGCTGGATAGTCTTTGAAAATAACGTCACAATTTAATCCTGAATTAAGGCTTTAATTTCATTCATGCTTAAATATTTCTCTGCACAACAATTCTATTTAACTTTAGCTCGATGTTTTCAAATCTCCACAACTAAAATCCACAGAACACATATACCCTTATAATGCTTCGAGTTAGAAATGATATTGACATCTGGCCATTGAGATAGAAAATATATAGAGGCGCCGTGTTACTATAGAAGTATACATGCTTATACAAATATGAGGGAAATATGAAACAAACTATGAAATATCATTTTTTCTCACTCTTTCTAAGGCAATAATTGTATTAGACAAAAGAGACAACAATATTTAAGTTGTTGCTTAATATGGAAACAAATCATTTTGACATTAGCAAAGTTGTAGGTAAGTGCCATGTCCGCCATCTTAAGCGCTCAGAGTACCTGAGTTTCATGGTAGTTGTCCTGTCAAACGGTGGTTTATGTTTTAAATTATTGCGGTTTTTCAGTAAATTACAAAGAACGATTTTTTTAAACTTCAAATATATATAGTGAAACAAAAAAACAATATGCCTGTGTGTTGTATTGTGCAGTGTGGTACAAAAAAGAACGAAAATCAACCTCAATTGTCTTTGTATAGGTTAGTAAACAGTTTTCATCAAATATTACTTAGAATAATCCACATAGGTAGAAAAAAATGTCACGGATACTTTAATCTATTGCCAAAGTATATATATTTACTTTTATTTCTGTCTATGAGACAGTTTTAGTAAAAAATTGTTGTTTACAATAATATGTCAATATGGCGTAGTTACGTACCATTTCACAAAAGTATCGATATAATCTCCCATTTAAAATTCAACATATATTATACTAAATAATCTATTTTAACAATGGATGTTTCCGCAGTTTTGTGTAACGCTAAAGTAAGACGTCAGTATTTTGGTATTGGTTTTAGTTACATAAGTAGAAGTTCAAATTATCATGTTTTATAATTATACGGGCGCGATTGACAGAGCGGCATTGGCGACGATCCCAGTGCGACCACCAAGCGTAATAATAAAAAGTGAGATACATACAATAAGATTGACTTCACTACATATCTATTTTGTACTAACGTAGTTTCGAAGATATCATCGCTTAATCAGACGCGCCGAAATTGTGCGCGAGCACTTCACAAATACCCACAGGTTTTCCACATATATAAAGATAAACATTTAACAAACACTATCTTTTTCTATTTCACCATTCCATTAAACGCTGTTCATAAACACAGTCCTATTTTTTTTAAAGACGCTTTACCTAGAATTATATGAATACAAATTCGACTTGAGAAAATCATTAGCCAATCAAGAGACCAAGTTAACCCCGGGTTCCGGGTTCTAGCTAGGCCGACGGCAAAGTAGGAACAGGAGTTGATTTTAGTCAGTAACGGTCTGTCCCGAAAAAGGCCGGAGATGACATTAGATGATTTCCCATAAAAAATACCTTTAATCAGCTGGCTAATCCCTAAAACTATACCTAGGTACGTAGAACTTTTACTCAAATTGTATCGATACTCGTTAAATACTTAGTCGGCACAACCCTAGCAACGGCAGCCATCTTATGCGACATTTTGGATTGTAGGTAGGCACCTTCTTTTCGTAGGTATTTCAAGTCCATATATTTCCTATGTCAATGCATCTGGCGTTGCCCGTCATTTGACATTTCATGATAATGTTTGGGCCACACTAAAGGGAAATGCCATTAGGTAATTATCGCGATAGTGGATGTATTTGCTCAATAAAGAAATGAGCTATCTTTTCATTGTTTCATATCACCAATTATCACGATAATTATTGACATTTCCCGTCAGTGTGGCCCCAGCACAAGAAAGTGTATGTACACGGTGGACTTAATTAATAATTTCATAGATTTTATTTCTTTTCTATGGTTCTATGGTCTAAGTTCCGTGGGTTCGATTCCCGCACGGAACAACTCTTTGTGTGATCCACAAATTGTTGTTTCGGGTCTGGGTGTCTTGTGTATGTGAAATTGTATGTTTGTAACCGCACCCACGACACAGGAGAAAATGCTAATGTCCCCACATTAGCATTTAAAAAAAAACGTTTAAAAAAAAAACGAAGTTTATCGTCCGTATGTTCTCGCGGTTACAAATACGAATTTAGTGAAAACTATTAACACGTCCGCTTTGCCGATGCGTACGTGCCGACGGAAGTGTGCGGAAGCGGGAGGCTCACGCGGCGTCCGGCGTGAGTTTACCGACAGCGGACCAATAAGCCCGAAGCTTCGCCCGAAGTGCCGAAGGGTTCATGAATACTTCACTACACATATCGCGATAACGAACGTGAAAATTCGTGTTATAGCGATGTGTGCGGCCGAGGCTTAAAAAGGACCATAGACGTACATATATTGTAATAACAAACATACCTAATAAACGTAGTGGTTACATACTCTTTGATACCTAATATCAAGGTAATAATATCTACATATATATATATGATATTTTTACTGTGCTAATATGTCCATGAGATGAGAAGGACATGATTACTGTACATGTTACTGAGCTTGTTACTGAAGCTAGAACACTACGGCATTCGGGGGGTATCCCTAGATTTATTGAAATCATACCTTCAAGAAAGAAAAATTAAAGTACAAGTCAACAAAGTTAACTCACTGGGTGCTAGCGTATCTATGGGCGTACCGCAGGGCTCAATATTAGGTCCTTTTCTATTTTTAGTTTATGTAAATGACCTGCCCCATATGTTCCAAAATGAACCGCATATGGTATTATTCGCTGATGACACTTCATTGATTTTTAAAATAAATAGACGAACAAACAAATATGACGAAGTTAATAATGCCTTAATGAAGGTTCAAAATTGGTTTACAATTAACAACTTATTACTAAATGATAAAAAGACTAAAAAAATTAGATTTATTTTACCAAATGTTAAAAGTAACGTATGTGACGATATATTATTAAATGATCAGAAACTAGAATTTGTAAAAGAGACTACTTTCCTGGGGATCACTGTAGATGAGAAGTTGCAATGGGGGCCCCACATCAGGTCTCTAGCAGGACGATTGAGCTCTGCAGCTTATGCTGTCTGGAAGATCCGTCAGCTAACCGATGTAGGCACGGCAAGACTAGTGTACTTTAGCTACTTTCATAGCATCATGTCGTATGGAATTCTGTTGTGGGGACAGGCATCTGACGTTGAGTCTATCTTTATCTTGCAAAAGCGTGCCGTCAGGGCTATATATAACTTAGGTCGTCGCGAATCTCTCAGAGAAAAGTTTAAGGAGATCAACATTCTGACCGTACCGAGTCAATTTATTTATGAAAACATTATGTATGTTAGGAAAAACCTACACTTATTTGTAAAGGTATCTGACAAACATGATTATCATACTAGATATAGGAATAGATTGAGTCAGCCTTTATTTAGATTGGCAAAAGTGCATAAGTCATTCCTGGGTTTCTGTGTTAAATGTTATAATAAAATCCCAGTTGAAATTCAAAATCTAAATGAAAGCAAATTCAAATTATGTATAAAGAAACATTTATGTAAACTAGCATACTACAAACTAAATGATTATATACAAGATAAAAATGCTTGGAGGCTAGCTGGTCCTACTCCACAGGATGTTTAGAGGAATTTTTGATTTTAATTATTAATTTGTACACTATGTTGTTAATTGTTGATGATCTTCTAAGTTTTTGTAAATGTGAGTGCCCTGTAACCTATTATAATTAAGTAAGACTTGTAGAATATAGGTACTTGTGTCGGCTGGGAGCTGTCATGCTCACTCAGAGGTCTCATTGGCGGTGGCACGGGCACTGGATCGCCCAATTCCCTATAATATGGTTGAGTTGGGCGGTGCTGGTGTACGTGTCATGTTCGTGAACGGGCGCCGCCTATTGGGTACTGGTCAGCTCCAGGCTGTCTAAATATGTTGTCCTTGAGGTTCACTTCTTTTTCGTACTTTTTGCCTGAACATTAGTGTTACATTGTTCTCACATATCAGAACCGACTAAATTATGTAACAAAGAAATGTATTGTAAAACTGATTGAAAAAGAGTAACCATGGAGTTTCTTGCTCGTTCTTCTCCATAGGAATCTACACTTTGGAACGAGCAAATAGCTTCACTAGAGGACAGACGGACAGACTGACACGCTTAATTTTAAAGCTCTTGTTATATACTTTTTTCCTTTTTTGCTTGCTTGACGTTCAAAAGTGCCTACTGTGGTCTAATTGAAATAAATGATTTTTGACTTTTGACTTTTTTTTAAAGATGAATGGTGAAATTGTTTCATTGAAAGATGATAGGGAAAACACAAGATGATGAACAAAATAAATTGATGTTATCCTGTTACGAAGCCAGATGTAAAAAGTCAAAAATATATTAAAACAGATTACTTGGCGTGGTGTCATGTGTCTCGACCGTAGACAGAGAATATCTACTATTTCACGGTCTCGACAAAACACCTTGGTTTCACAATTGCTGTCACTTGTCATTGGCAGATTTGTCATTTGTCACTGTCAGTTTTGTCCATAATCTAATCTATTGTGTACCTACAGAATGAAATGGGCTGTGAATCCCTTTTCTAAAATTTGTTAAATATAAGGTTTATAGATGGAAAATTTTTCGAAAGTAGAAAAAATTGGTGAGGGCACGTATGGAGTCGTTTACAAAGCCAAGGATAGACTGACTGGAAATGAAATAGCACTCAAGAAAATAAAACTAGAGAAGTAAGTTTTGGCGGCAAAATAAAATAAATTTCGTGATGTGTAAATTATTTGGATACGGTCATTGTTTATATTGTGTTTGTTAGACAATCATGTAGCACAGTAGCTTATTAGAAGTTCTTGTATGGTATTGGTAAGATTCTGGTAAATTGGTAAGATTGGTAAAATTCTCAAATTCAGGTTATAATACCTAAGACGAACTGCCTTAATTAAGCTCAAAAATTAAGTCCTCCTGAATTACTTGTTGTCACAGAGTAACTATAAATAAATCTTGTCCCTACTTAGATTTCATTAGCCAATAGTTTTACCAAAACACAAAATGTAAATGTTACATTCTAATACATAGTTTAATAACCTTATTTCCTTTTATGTTCCTGCCAGTACTAAGTAGCCAAAATATAATGTGCTTACTTAGTGAAAAAGAAAGTGTTCATGGCAGAAACATACAAGTTGTATTGCATTTAAAATAAATTATATATGCATTTGCATATCGTCTGGAGTTTGTAAATCTTGCCCTTGTATTTCCTTATTGAGGCTAACATGAGGAGATGTGATGGGAATAACTGGGATGACGGTAGCTCCACCATCATCCTGTGTGTTCTAGGGAGAAGTCAGTTTTCCTCATTACTTGACTTAATTGTCTGTTTGGAGTGAATGATTACAGAACAGGTCCTCCACATCTGGCTTACCTTTATTGGCCATCCACATTAGAATGGCAATAGTAGTGATCCTTCTTGAAGCTTAAAGGCTGGTTTGTAAGCTGCAAGTGGGCCAGTAATGCAGGTTGCTTTGCAGATGTAAATACTTTGAGCGCTGAAAAGCTGGTGGCAGTTTCTTTACTCTTCAACCACTCACTTTGCAGCAACTATAACCAGTTGGTGAGTTGGCCAATTTTGACCTGCCAGTTTCGCATATGAATTACATTGTTTCAGCATGTGCTACTATTTTATAGTTGTGGTAATATTATCATACAGTATTCCAACTTCCTACAAACTTTTTTATTTTTTTTGTTAGGAAATACTTTTTTTTTAGAAAATATTGAGCGATTTTTGGCTGTATGAATTCATCAATAACTCATCCAGAAATGAGCTTTTTAATTACTTACTTGGAAACTATGAAATAAACAACAAACATGACCATTGTTTTTATTAATTGTATGCCTAAATATTAGGTTGTCTACCATTACACACCAGAGGTTGATGGCTCTGGCATGTGACTAATATGGCAAATGAGAGTAGGGCTGTGAATATTATGTCGTATGATATTATGGCTGTTGATTATTATGGCAAATGATATTAGGGCAAATAAAATTCTGGTAAACGGCTGTAAACCTGACCAGTCCATGCACCTGCTCCACTGTTCAGGGCCCTGTTCTGAATCTGAACTAATGTTGAGGGATAATTTCACCATTTTTGAGTATTTTGCTAAGCCAAGCAACGACTTTGTCAAATAGTTTAGATATGTCGGGTAAAAGACTTATTGGACTGTATGATGTGATGTCACAAGGTGCTGTGGTTTTCTTGCTTTTGAATTTTCTTAATATTGTTAGTTTTTGTGCACGTGAGCCAATCAGGGTGAGTAACTATCGTTATGCGAGTGAAGAAGCCTATTACGTATGTATATTCAGATTTGTTTTAGAACAAACATTCAAACTGAGATGTAACTAATTTGTTGTAGTATATAATACTGGAGTCCAAGTCGGCTAGAGAAAAACTGGTGATACCAAAGGAGTTGTGTGCAAATACGTTGTCGGCTTCTTGTGAGTTATTAATGAATTGAGGGTTAAAGATTGTCGGGAAGCTACCACTCCGGTCGCGTTGGCCCATTCGTACTAAGGCGTGGCTCTCCTACACTTAGACTTGGCTATGTATCTGAAATGCTTAAAGAGTCACACAATGAATGTCATACGCACGCACGATCCTGTTTCGGATCCAGCGGCAGGAAACGCTCGAGTATCGTCATTGTGAGTCTGACACTCCCTCCTGCTCGGCCCTGGGCGGGAGAAGTCATATTATGATTATCCCCTCACAAAAAAAAAAAAAACGTATGCATACTCAAGAGTTACAAGACTACCATAGATGGTGTCCGCTATGGCCGATGCTCGGGCGGTTTTGGGGAAATCGATTAAAAGAAGAGATGATTTTCCGTCTGCAAAAAACATATAACGGATAATAATTGTTTTATATCTGTAAGACTTGAGAGTGTGGGGCGGTGTTGCAGTGAGCCGGAGGGCGTGCCGTCGACGGCGCTGCGCGAGATCTCGGTGCTGCGCGAGCTGCGCCACCCCGCCGTCGTGCGGCTGCTCGACGTACTGCTCGCCGACAGCAAGCTGTTCCTGGTCTTTGAATTTCTCCACATGGATCTGAAGCGGCTGATGGACATCAGCAAGGGACCACTTCGCCTCGACCTCGTGAAGGTGAGTGAGCGGACGGGCGCGCGGCGCTGGGCGCGGACGGCCGGACTGAGCGCGGCGTGTGGTCACAGAGCTACGTGCGCCAGTTGCTGGAGGGGGTGGCGTACTGCCACGCGGCGCGCGTGCTGCACCGCGACCTGAAGCCGCAGAACCTGCTGGTGGACGCGGAGGGCCACATCAAGCTCGCCGACTTCGGGCTGGCGCGCGCCTTCGGCATCCCCGTGCGCGCCTACACGCACGAGGTCGTCACTCTGTGGTACCGCGCGCCCGAGATACTGCTCGGCGCCAAGTTCTACTCCACCGCCGTCGACGTCTGGAGTCTCGCCTGCATCTTCGCTGAGATGGTAATTCTCATATTCTATTTTATTTCCATTAACTAAACATTTAACTTCTAATATTAGATTAATAATGTAAAAAAGTACGTTATGAGGGCGCGGGTTCGAAACCTGGCAAGTAGCAATGTGACTTTTTTCTGAGTTGTATGTACTCGCTATTATTATTTAGATGATTGACATAAGGTAAAGGACAACATCGTGAGGACACCTGGATTATAATTTCTAATTTTAAGCCGAAATCGCCTTGAGCAAGCATGGTGATTAATGCTCAAACCTTCTGCGTGTGAGATGGCGTTTGCTCGGCAGTGAGCTCTCGAGGCTGATAGTTGAAGATGAGTTACTGCAAGTAAAGTATGATAAATGATTTGGGGCGGTGGGGCAGGCGAGCGGGCGCACGCTGTTCCCGGGCGACAGCGAGATCGACCAGCTGTTCCGCGTGTTCCGCGCGCTGGGCACGCCGGGGCAGCGCGTGTGGGCGGGCGCGCGCCGCCTGCCGGAGTACCGCGCCGCGTTCCCGCGCTGGCCGGCGCGGCCGGCGCGCGCGCTGCTGCCCGACGCGCTGCGGCGCGACGCGGCGGCCGCGGCGCTCTTCGAGGCCATGCTGCGCTACGAGCCGGCCGAGCGCGTCCCGGCGCGCGCCGCGCTGGCGCACGCCTACCTCGCCGACGCGCGCCTCACGCCGCCCGACCTGCCGCCGTCCGCGCGCCGCTAAACAATAACTACTGAAAATGTGTTTACGCTAATTTCGCAGTGTATAATATACATTAAACTAAAGTACCTCTGGTCTATCGGTTTAGGTAATTCATTATCTAAATGTAAACAACTGTGGCATGCCTTTTTATCAAAAAGTTATCTAAATCGGTATTAGCTAAGAATGTGAATTTAAATAATCGGTGTATGTATTTTATACTCACGACCTTGTACCAAGAATCACCTGTAGACCTATAGACCCAAGTGAGTGCGAGTTTGCTATATACAAAGGCTATCAACGCGTTATGACAATCGACGCTTTGATTGGCTGCTCCGATTAATTTAGCAACCAATCAGATGGCCAGCGCGGTTACGAGTCTGTTCCGATAAGTCACCGCATGGACAAAAACATTTACTGTCTGCATGTTGCAATCATAGATGTAATTTTGTAAAAATAAATAAGATTAATATTTTTTGTAACTCTTTTTCTTGTTATTGGAGCTCGTTCAGCCATGGCAGAATCCGCACGGATTAATATTGCCCGCTTAGACCGCGAATGTTATTTAGATAGTTAAATCAGTCAGAAACTATGGAAACTATCACGACCGCCTCTTAAAAGGTTGACTTAACCTGTAACCTTGTATAATTCGATCATACCTCCGCTCTGTGAAGCTGCTGGCATCGGACGGTGACACTGGATCGCATCGACACTGAGCTATTCATCCATGATAAGTACAGATGTGGGAGAACCATGCTACGGCACGAATGGGGCGGCTCCACCGGAGTGATACCACGGCCTCACAAAAAACCGGCGTGACACAATCACAGCGTTGTTTCGCTGTGTGAGTGAGGTTACCGGAGGCCCAATCCTTCCACTCCCCCGATCCCTAAATCTACAAAACCTTAATCCCTAAAAGGTCGGCAACGCACTGGACTGTCCATGGGCGGCGCTGATTGCTTACCATCAAGTAATACGTCTGAACGTTTGCCGAAATTATGACGTAAAAAAAATGAGGGGCAAAGAGACCTGACTTTGTGGGTCACTCAATGTGCGCAATATTCATCATATACACAAGCCTTAACTACAAACTCGATCTCAATCAATACCTACTACTTCGAATTACTTCGTAAATGAGGCTAGGAATGGAATGTAGGAAACGGAAGCTGGGCGGCGCTGGAGTTCCTACGTGTCATGTTCGTGAACGCAACAACTGGCTCTGTCAATTGGGACTGCTCTGAGATATTTAGGGTCACATGTCAACTACTATCTACTATAGAAGAAATATTTTATTACTAGGTGAAGTATGAAGGTTATTATGTTATTCAGATTAATCAGATTCTTCGGTGAAATGTTCATGAAACACCGTTCTCACATAATAGAACCGACTAAATGATGCCACAAAGAATTAAATTTAGACGCTGAAAGGGGAGAGTAACCATGGAGATTCTTGCTCATTCTTCTCCATAGGAATGGAGCAGCTTTGCAGCGAGCAAATAGCTTCTCTATCTGTCCTTATAACAGACCGCCAGATTGATGCATGTCGCTCTAAATACTTTTTTACGTTGAGATGAAGCAAACAATACGTGGCCGTGGGGTGAGCATCGGCACGTTGTCGTTTGAAGTCACCAGACAACGTTACCGGTTAGGGCGGAGTTTTTGTTTCGCCCGCTGTGATTGGACGATGAAATTGACAATCAAATGACAACTGGATCTTTAAGTGTGGGAGAGCCATGCTTCGGCACGAATGGGTCGGCTCGACCGGAGTGATACCACGGCCTCACAGAAAACCGGCGTAAAATAACCACTGCGTTGTGTTTCGCCGTGTGAGTGAGGTTACCGGAGGCCCAATCCTTCCCCTTCCCCAATCCCTCCTCAATCCCTAAATCTCCAAATCCCTAATCCCTAAAAGGTCGGCAACGCACTCGTAACTTCTTCTTTGTTGCGGGTGTCCATGGGCGACGCCGATTGCTCACCATCAGGTAATCCGTCTGCTCGTTTGCCGTCCTCTCACATAAAAAAAAAAAAAAACTGATTTAAAAAGTATTGATGTCGATATGTCGATAAATATTTCACTTCTCAGTCACGACTATAATAAATTTTAAATTATATCGATATAGGCGTCACCATTCTGTGACGGCACTACCTACCGAGAAAAAAAGAGACAGATTGAGTGGGCGAGAAAGGGACAGCATCGCATGTTTAATTATTGTATTAATTTTTCATTTTTAATCAAATTGAAGTAGTAGAACACTTTCCACACCATTTAACTGTACAACTGGACATTATTCTCAGTGTTATTACAATCGAGAGCGCGTGACGTGACATGCTTACGTGAACTTGTAATTGTCGCGTAGGTATGACCCAAAATTTCCTACTGTAGGTATACTTGTTTTAGCATATGTTTGGTGAGCACAATAGCACCGTATACGCGCGCGAAAATAAGACGGTTGACGAGATGAATAATATGTGTGATGATGGATTCGATTGACACCGAATCTGATGTCGACTACGCAGTACATTACCCACATTAGCTATAAAAATTATTTATTAGGTATAGGTATACAATTTACCTAATAATTAAAAAGAAAAGTAGGTAATTTGTTATTAAGAAATGCAGCATATTGTATGCAGCACCCTATATGTATAACTAGATATATTGGCGTAATACAATAGGTCGTGAATAAAAATGAACAACTGATGCATATGACGTAGACTCTTATATTTATTTTACAAGTAGAGAAATAGTACAATACAAGTTGACAGCGCGGTGTGGCGGGAGCATATTACGGTTTCCAAAGCTTGAGCAGACCGTCCTCGCCGTACGTGGCCAGCAGGTTTTGGTGAGGATGGTGCGTCAGCCCGATCACGGCCTTGTCGTGAATCTACAACCAGAGGGAGTACGGTCAGTTGCTGTTGGTTAGGATGGCAGCGTGCGTGGTAGATACTCACGTTGATGGTCCGCTCCAGCTTGCCTGTGGCGGTGCAGAAGGCGTAGAGCACGAGGTCCTCGCCGGCGCAGTAGACCAGGCGGCCGCGCGCGCTGAGCGCGGCGCTGACCAGCGCGCCGCCCTCCTGCTCGCGCCGTCCGCTGGAGAAGGAGCGCACGATCTGCCCCTGCATGTTCATGATGACCACGGTATTGGTGCGGTTGCACACCACGAAGTGGTCCGGGTTCTTGGGCGTCAGCAGCAGCGAGTTGACGGGCGGCTCCCCGCTGCCCAGCGGCTTCAGCGTGGCCGTGCACTCGCCCGTGCGGACCGACCACACCTTCACGCTGCCGTCCGACGACCCGCTCAGCACGCCGTGCCCGTCCGGAGTGAACACCGCCTCGTTCACGAACGACGTGTGTCCGCGGAACTCCTTCAACACCTTGCCGGACTTGAGGCCGTGGATCCTGCAGCGAGAGCGAGACGTGAGCGACCGCGCAGGCGAGGAGTGCGGGCGGAGGACCCGCCACTCACCTGATGGTGCGGTCGAAGGAGGCGGACAGTATCTGCGTGTTGTCCCTCGTGAACTGCAGGCAGGTGACGCCCTTGGCGTGCGCGCGGTCCAGCTTGCGGAGCACCTGTCCACTGGACACCTTCCACACCTGCGAGGCACGCATCGTTAGTCCGGCCCGCCACGCGGTACCTACCCTGTTACGCCGGCGCTCACCTTGATCTTGCCGTCGTTGGAGCCGGCGGCCAGCGTGTCGCTGTCGCGCCCGAAGGCGAGGCTGAGCACGGCCTCCTCCATGCTCATGTACTCCTCGTGCGCCTGGTATCGTAAGTCCTTACGGATCTTGCCGGTAGTGAAATTCCACACCTCTACGAGGCCGTCGACCGAGCCGGTCACCAAGTACTGTCCGTCGGGTGAAAACCTGTTCAGAATGAAACATGAATTCAAGGTCTTCATGCAATAACCGCTAGCGACGATACTGTGAGTCAGCTCTTTAGAGTTCCAATAGTCAGAAGGTTAGGACTGTTAAGCAGTACCCGATTGCAACGTTTCGTTTCACTTTACCATTAACAACTCACGTGACCCCAGAACGAACGAAATAAAGAAAATGTTTAAATAAAATTATTTGTATGAAATTTTAGTGTTATAGTGATGTGGATAGTGTTGTTGAGATTATATAACCTGGCGCATTCCACGTGCGACTTCTGGCCGAACTTGATGATCTTGGAAAGCTGTGTGGGGCACTGGTCGTCCTCCTCGTCTCGGATGGCCGCCTTTCCCCGGAACAGGTCAATGGTAGTCCCTGCGAACAGGCCGAGCGGTCGATTAGTGCGCCAAGGCCTCTAGCCCGAGTGCTTCGCCCTGGCAGTGGCGGAGGTACCTGGCGGCAGTAGGCCCTGGTGCTGTTGCCACTTGAGCGCCTGGCCCAGCAGCGCCAGCAGACGCGAGCTGGGCACGACGGACACCTCGCCGGCCAGCGCGGCGGCGATGGCGGCACGGCGCCGCTCCTTGCCGCCGCCGCTGCCGTAGGCCTCGCGCGGGTCGAAGTAAGAGCGCGCCAGCAAGTTCTCGAGGTGGATGTAGCGGTCCGTCTCCTGCTGCTTCATGAGCAGGCAGGGGTGCGTCTGCCGCAGCAGGGAGCGCGCGGCGCCCAGTTCGCGCAGCTCGATCAACTCCAGCACCACCTGCTCGTACAGCTCCATCAGCTTCTTGTCGGGCAGCTTCAGCGACGCAGTGGCCTTGAGCACCGTGTCCCAGTGCCCATTGTTGATATCGGCGCAGAACCCGTCCACGCTGTCCACCGTATTCAGGGACACTCCAGTCTCCTCCTGTACACAAGCCCTAGTAAGGTGCACTGCCACACAACACAGATAACGTACTCCACAGTGCAGGCGCTGCTGCCAATCATCAATATACAAATACATAAAATAAGGAAACTGTTCACTATCTGCAGTTCATATACGTACATATTGCAGACTATTTAATTTCTCTAATGAGTTACTATACTCATACAACAAATTTGTTCCAGGGTCAACAGTGATAGATTATATGCCCTGTACACATAGAGCAAATCTTAACTTGTC